ATCTATCCAGCGATCGACTGGATTAAATAATTACTATACCTAATAAATTTTATAATTTATAAATTTATATTGTAACTCAATTTTTTTACTTTTTCTTACTTTGTTAACAGTATTCACTCTGTTCTTTCCTTCTCAAAAGAATTTAGCTTCTCTTCCTACTTTAGAACGTTCTTTCCTCTCTCTCTCTTTCTCTCTATCTACGTCTATCATTCGAAGTTCACTCGAAATATACTAGAAACAAAGGAATTCTGCCACGTCACACTTGTTAACTACACCTGGGGAGATATACCATTTAGGTGATTTAGAGCAAGAAAATTTTTGAAGTGAAAGTTAAGTTGAATGNCTTCATGCATTTAATATCCAGAGGAGTCAGCCAGTGACCAGGAGAAACGAAGTAGACGCAGCAGTGAGCTCTTGTATCCGTTACGGTCTTCTTACGAGCTACACATTCTTCTTCCAAATACTTTTCATATTGCTCGTGTATATTTATTATATTTTAGAATAGGGAGCCAACAGTTTTCGTTGTTAATTTGATGGCCGGATGTGTCTGTAACTGTAAGATTAAACCGAGAAACGTTTGAATCAAACCGAACTCTCTTCTTCTCCAGATGGCTAATGCATTTAATTTCTGTTCTTTTTCGTAAACCTCACTTCTTTGCAATTCTCGTGTATGCGTGTCTGTTGACGTCTATTTCGTTTAATACTTCTGAATCAGGTAATAATTAAATCGTTTTTTCAAGATACAAACTTTAAAAAGAGAGTTAAGCAGAGTACACTAGCCTAAGGCTAATTTTCCAACTAGAAGAATATTAAATTCATCATCCCTCTTCAGACATTTCTTCAAAATTTACTCTCGAAGAGTGTCCAGAGCCGGCCCTACCATAGGGCGAACGGAGCGTCCGCAGTAGGCGCAAAGTCCAAGGGGGCGCCTCAGTGGTAAAGAAAATTAAAGGGTATAAATTAGAGGCAACCAAGGGGGGGAGCCATAATAGGATCTCGCTCCATCCTAAAACTTGCCTCGGGCCAGCACTGCGTGTCCATACCTTTTTCTGTCTGAAGACACTTTTCTGTCTTCAAATAACTCCCCTGAGTCCTTTCGGTTGATATTTCCCACATAATTTCTATGGAATTCTGTCACCAAATTCGAAAATAGTGCTGAGCCAAATTCACATGGGTTCGATGGCGCCAATTCTGTATTTGTTCGACTGCCAATCTTTCCCACAATATTAATTTCAATAAATTATTTTGCGACAATTTATTTCTTAATAAGTAAAATATAATTTATTTTAAAAATTCACAAATGACTTATGTAACTTCCCTGGCTTTGGTGAAATTTTATTTAAAAACTTTTTATAATAGATGGCGCCACCAAAATTTTGAATTTTGCCGGCAAAGTTCAGCAATTTATTGTTGGTATATTTAATTTAAAAATTGTGGTGTTTTGCAGGAATCTAATTAAATTCATGTGTCGCATAGGGGGACCTCTTTACTTTGTAGAAAGTTTCTTTTTCGAAGAAACTTTCCTACACTAGATGGATGGCAGAGAAGGTCGGTTAATTCCTTATATGTGTTTGTGGTGTTTCTCCGCGTCCTTAACATGGTCCTTTATCTGGTAAATTAGTAGTACGTCAACTCGAAACCACCGTCCTTCCCGCTTTCACCAGCAAATTCACCTGTATACCAGATTTATTGACGATATTTTTATAATTTGTCGGGATAAATCCGTCATTCTGGATTTCTTACAGACGATCAACTACGACCCCGACCTTTTCGGCCTAAAACTCCCTCTTGAACAGGGCAACGCCCCCCTCAGTTCATTTCCTGGACCTCCGGATCACCAACAAACTGGGACGCCTGTCTACTCAGGTCTACAGGAAACCCATCCACCTCCCTACCTTTATCCCACGATCCTTTCACTTTCAAAATGGCAGCTTTCATAGCTTTAATACGAAGATCATTTTCCTATTCATCCAGCAAACAGGAGAGAGAGAAAGAGCTTCGTACTTTCACCTAATACGCCACACAGCATGACTATTCCCCGCACACTATTAGGGGATTAATCCGCAATCTTTCCGACACCGCTTCCATCCAGCTAAATAAACTCTTTCCAGAAGAAACTAAGTTCAAGACCATCACCTACAACAAGTCCCTTGCCACACTTTACAAAGAAATTAAATGGGGAAACAACTGTCGTTTGTCATTCCGCAGAAGTCTAGCTATGGCGTCTCTCCTCCACAACATCACAAACTGTCTCAACAAGTACCACTTGCCAGGCATCTACAGTATCCCCATCATTGACCATCGTTAGAACCCCATTTACAATACATAGATGCTACGTCTCGCCCGTTACATATCCGTTTAAAAGAACATCAAAAAAGGTTTAACCAACATGGCTGCCTATGCATCCAGGTAGATTTCCACGATACGCACCTCTTACATAACGAATCCAAACCATATGTCCATAATCATCTTGAACAAGAGGAAATTTACAAGACCATCCGCCATAACTCAGCAATAAACTATCGCGACGTTGACTCATCTACTGCCTTGGAAGTCTTTCTACGAAATATGAACGCCCTCAACTCCTCTCTTCTTACGTCATACACCCCCTTCCCCCTATACACGTGTTCGGCAATCCCCAGTGTTTTTCTCAGTAGTTTGTTGCCTGAAGATGCCCGTTTAACACGGGCGAAAACGTTCGCTTAGTTTATAATTTTGTCGCTGGTTTGTTAGGTTTTTCCAGTGTTTATTATCTAGTTTTAACCAGTTGTTAACTAGAGATTCTCTGTGCAAAAATATTGCTTTGCTTAGATATATTATATTTGTGATTCTTCTTTTTGCAAGGGTAACAAGAGAAGTTCCCTGCAAAATGCAAGTTGCGTCTTGTCTGTGTTGTAAACTGCAAATGTATGCTAAAGTTTGTCCAATAATAGTAGTATGCGCCTTCATAATTTAGCAGAACACCAGTTAAAAACCATTGGTCTAGATCAGTGATTCTCAAACTTTTTCGATCCACCGCCCCCTTTGTTCCATAAAGTTATACCCAACTCCCCCTAACCCATTTTCTCTTGTATGAGAAAAGGATTGGAAATATTCTTAGGAAAACTTTTCTATGAATCTCACACTTTGTGCCCTTACTGTACATTGTTCTCATCATCTGGAAACCATTAAATGCAATGTTTCCTCTTATCAGCCCCAATTTTGCCTTTGGTCACCGTTCAATACCCTGCCTCTATCATAGATCTATTCATCGCGCCAGAAGGGGGC